TGGGCTCCGCGCGCGTCTCTCGCTCCCGATCTTGTAGCACCAGCACTGAGCATAGTTCCTGGCACAGTAGGTGCTCATAGAAGGAATAGAAAACAGTGGGCGCTCAACAAATGCTTGCAGGAGGAGGAAGGAAAAGAAGAGATGGAGGTTGCCCAGCTAGTAAATCTATTTTTCTTTTCTTTTTTTTTTCTTTTTTTTTTTTGACAGAGTTCTCACTCTGTTGCCCTAGGCTGGAGTGCAGCAGCGCATCTCGGGCTCACTGCAACCTCCTCCACTCCCAGGTTTCAACCGATCTCCTGCCTCAGCCACCTGAGTAGTCTGGGATTACAGATGGGCCCGCCACGATATGGTCCTGGCCAATTTTTTGTATTTTTAGTAGAGACGGGTTTCACCATATTGGCCAGACTGGTCTTGAACTCCTGACCTCAAGCTATCTTCCTGCCCTCAGCCTCCAAAGTGGCTAGGACTACAGGCATGAGCCACTGCACCTGGCCAGCTAGTAAATGTATTTCTCATCATCCTCCAAAGGAATAGGGTCCCAGTCCACTTCCTTAAGCCTGACTCCACTATTTCAAACTGCCGTCATAAAGAGGAGAAGACATCAATACGGCAAGTCCTCAGATAGGAGATCAGCAGAGTTCAATTCTTCTTCCCCACGGGAGAAGCTACTTACTTATAGACCTTTCCCCTACATCCATGGTCTCCATACCTTCTGGATTTTTAACCATGGGCTTCTGACACCAGGCTTCCAGGCTTTCTAACTAACACTGAAGATGCAGCCTGGCCCAAGTGTCAGGTACAGAACGGAGGAATTGTAATCAGCTAATGCAACAAACCACTCCCAGGCAAGGAATGACAGTCTAGAATAGTGTTTCTTTGATTTTAAAATTACAGTGTGCAGGCCGTCCCCCGGGGATCTTGCTAACATACAGTTCTGACCCAAGAGGACTGGGTTGGTGATGGGGGTTTTGCATTTCTAAGGCACTCCTAGGTGATGCTGATGTGGCTGGTCCAGGGACCGAACTTTGAGAACCACCAGTCCAGAACATCTACATCTAGACCATGAGTCTAGAATCATCTGAGTGTAGAACTTTCAACTTTAGACCAATGGTTATCAAACTGTGGTTCCCCAACCAGCATCATTAGCACCACCTGAGAAATTGTTAACAGTACAAATTTTAGGGCGTCACCCTGGGCCAAAAGAATCAGAAACACTTGAGATGGGTCCCAGGAATCTGTGTTTTAACCAGTCCTTTGGGTGATAATGCAGGTTAAAATTTGAGAACCACCTGTCTAGAGCTACACAATCTGGTATGTCAGGCACTAGCCACATATGGGCATTTAAATTAAAATTAATACAAGTCAATTAAAATTCAATTCCTTGGTCACACCAGCCACACTTCTAGGTCTCAGTAGCCATATGTGGCTACTGGCTACCATATTGGGTAGCAAATAGGCTTCCCTGGGGGTGGTTTGCGTTTTGAAGAATGAGTAGGAGACAGCCAGGGATTGGCAGGAGAAGAGGCTCTGGGCGAGGGCAGCAGCCCGGGCAGAGGTGGGAACATCAGGGAGTAGGAGCCGCTCCCTGGAGCTGCCCCTGTGTCTGTGAGTCTGGAGTTTGTGGCGACCAAGGAGAACAGCGAGAGATGGGGCCAGCGTTCGACAATCTTTGCAGTTTGGCTTTTATTCTAAGGAAATGTGGAACCATGGGAAGATTTTAAGAGCGGGAGGCACATTATTTA